TGGCCTGTGGGACCTGGTGCTGGTCTAGATTCAGGACTCGGGTCTGTGGGACCTGATGCTGGTCTAGATTCAGGACTCATTAATAAAAGCCTCCACATTAACATTAACATCCTCCAGTCTGTCCAAGCTCCTCCTCTGCTCATCATGAACCTGCAGGTTTAATAAATGTGTCAAACAGCTGATTGTAACAAACAGCTGATTGTGACAAACAGCTGATTGTNCAGCTGATTGTGACAAACAGCTGATTGTGTTGCTCAGTGTTTTCATGTCCAGGTTTAAAGTGAGCAACTCTTCAGGTTTCACCTGAACACAGCACAACAGGAAGTGAACCTCTGCCACAGCTGTCTGCCTGGTAACAGGTGACGCTGCAGGTCATGTGACCTCGTCCTCTGGTTTTTACAGCAGCTCTCAGTCCGACTGTGTCAGTGTTTGTCAGGTCAACAGAGGAACATGGCTTCATCCTTCCTCAGCTTCTCCCTCCTCTTCATCGCTGCGTCCACAGCAGGTAGGATCAATACTCATCAATATTCTGATCTATACACTGATCTATACACTGATCTATACACTGATCTATAAAATGATCACTGATCAATACACTGATCACTGATCAATACACTGATTACTGATCTATACACGGTCTGATCATGGATATATCTTAACTGATAGATCAATACATGTATGATCAGTGATCAATACAGTGATAATTCTCTGACTGTTTGTTCTTCAGATGGATTTAGGGAATATGCAGTGAATCGCTGTGACTTTAACTCCACTGAACTGAACGACATCACGCTCATTCAGTCGTACTTCTACAACAAACTGGAGTACGCCAGGTTTGACAGCAGAGTGGGGAAGTATGTTGGATACACTGAGTTTGGAGTGAAGAACGCTGAGGCCTGGAACAAAGGTCCAGAGCTGGTTCAGATGAGGAATGAGAAGGAGAGATACTGTGTTCACAACATTCAGATCTGGTACCAACTGGCTCTGGCTTCATCAGGTGAGTGTTGGTGACATCATCAGGTTAAACCTCAG